AACCAGCTGTGGTGGTCATGTGTAAACCAGCTGTGGTGGTCATGTGTGAACCAGCTGTGGTGCTCATGTGTAAACCAGCTGTGGTGCTCATGTGATCACATGCAAACATCTCCTGTTTAGGGATGGACAAGTAAATGAATCAGGATGCGAAACCAGAAGTCCATTAAGAATTTCCATTTAGGCTTTATGTGTTATTTAAAGTACCCCCCCCCTACACACACACACACACACTCCCAGCTCCTAATGCAGTTGGTCAAGTCTTATTTAGAGTTAAAGGTCACATCTTTATAACAAGCTGCAGCAGGAATTTCATTTTTAATATTTTTATTAAACGGTTATCTGTTCCAGATAGTTTGATGAAACTTGATGCACACATGCATCACCGCACGACGGAGTGTCACATAAATGTTCATCACCCCAGCTTCATGTTCAAGGTCACATATCAAGGTCATAGTTAAACAGGGTCTTTGCTTATTTGGACAATAACTTCTGATCTGCTCAAGATAATTTAATGAAACTTGATACAAAATTGCATCACCGTTAGATGACATGTCACATAATCTTTCCATCACCCCAGCTTCAAGGTCAAGGTCACAAATCAAGATCAAAGGTCTTACAAGTTCTTAGCTTGTCTGAGTGTTGGATAAAAATATTCTTTCTTAAATAAAAAGAGCCGCACTTGATGGCAGAGGAAGATTTTTAACCAGCATTTTACTTGCAAGGTCTCATTCAAGACAGATTACAAACATAGATACATAATGCCTGGATCATATCACAGAATGAGCGCTGAGTTTGCTGCAGACCTTTATACAGCTGCAGAGTCCAGCAGATGTTTCCTTCTACCCAGCTGCAGTCAGACACAAAGACATGACCCTTGGCCGTCGGCTAGTCGACCTCCAGACGGAGATAAGAGAATGTTCTGGGCATGTTCTCGTGGCGTCAACACCAGTGAAGCACTGTGGGTCAGCAAGCTGGCCTCCAGGCCGAGACAGGAGCATGTTTAGTGCACGTGTTACAGAAAGATGTTCTCAGCCGTAATATAATAAAAATATTCATACAAAAATTCTCCAACACTGAGCCGTTGCTGCTAGATAATAATTTTCCAAGCAGCGTATAATGTGCAGTACTCTCGTTCTTCTGAGTTTAGATTTTTTACCACTAAAGATAAATTCATTAAACTGACATGTCTCTTTTATTTCCTGATAGTGAACGCGTTGCGGCTCCATATAAACTGGTACATGGTGATGCTGAGTCAATGCATCATTTTGTCTCTTAGATTTGTTTTCAACACTAAGTGCTGTTCTTCAAACATCTCACCATAGCTGGATCAATGGTGTCGGTGTTTAATTTACCATCTATAAGACTTTTGGATAAAATATGAGCCTATTGCTGATTCTTGCTTATTCCTCTTAAAGATTTAGAAGAAGGGAAGACTGTGGAGGTCGAGGACACAACCGAGAATGAGATCAGTGACCCTGAAGAGGACTATTTGACGGACAGCCAACAGACCAATAAACTGTCAGAGCTTTACTCTACAACTATACCCAGTGTGGACTCTGCCATGGAGTCATGGGACGGTTCTGGACTGGATGCAGGCTATGGCAGCCAGGGTAAGCTTGATGACACACCTGGATCTAAAAACTTGACAATACTTGTCATGTATTATCTCATTTTTGAGTCCCTCCCTCTGCAGGTACTTACAACCATCAAGGAACTGGGGTTGCACTCCACCCTCACGAGTGGCGCAGTGCCAAGCAGCGCAGCGCCACCCCCCCAGTTGGACAGAGGAAGAACTACCCGTTCAGTGACGGAGGCTTCAGCGAGGATGACTGGGACAAACCGCCTGGGTATGACTGAGCTGGACTTTATCTTCCAATTACAATTTGCTTTTATGTCTCAGATAAACATTTCAGTGGATTCTGTCCGATGCCTGATCAAGATCCATTTCCTTAACTGAGACATTCGTACCCTCACCTGGATCATGAGCTCTGGGTAGTGACTGAAAGAAGAAGTTTGTGGATACAGCCAGTTAAAATGACTTTTCTCCACAGTTCATTTACCCTGGAGAGGCTCTGTGGAGCTGCTGCTCCTCCACATTCAGAGGAGTCAGCTGACGTGGTTCAGGACGGACCCTGATGCATCAGCAGGGAGGTTTTCTGGACGTGGCCATTTGAGAGGAAACCCCAGAGAATATCAAGGACATGCTGGAGAGACTTCAGATGGAAATTAATTTCAGTGAATTTAAAAAACTTCCCAAACACCTTAGGAATGTAAGAGTACAAAAGCATGCAAAAAGGGTTGGGATACATTTCAGTATCTCTGGACAGAAATCATCCCGGACGGCACACTGCCAGGATAACAGCTGCAGAATCTTGGCCTTAAACATCTTCGATCCTGAGAAATTAAATGAGGTGAAAGTGTAAAAGTTGAGATTCCAGATGAAAGTTGCTGCTAAATAAAGTCATTTTTCAAAACTTGGGCTTTGGGAAATACACAAAATGTATTAAAACAGTAATTTGGTTGATACAATAAAGAAAGGTTTTGGTTTATAATTGCTCCATTAACTATTTAGTTGACATTGTTAGCAAAATATTTCTTGAACCACTGGACAGCCTTTATTGAAATGATATATGTCTACAGCTGATTAACTTTTAGGTGTAACTCATTTCAAGATGGCCACCACAGCCAGCCCATTAATATATATATAACTCCGTTTTTATAAGTTATCGTTTTACTGAGATTGATTAATTGATTGATTTATATTGAGGTCAAATTTCTTCTTCCATGGTTTTCACAGACTGGCAAACCTCTACCCAGCTTTATTTCTGATGGTTCAATAAAGTTCTTGTCTTTTGAAATGTCCAGGACTCGCTGTTCTGTTTCCTGTAAACTTTAAACGGAGAAATGGAACGGAGAGCCACGGACACGTTCGAGGGAACAACACCGAGCCGCTGGTTCAGATGTGCAGATGACCTTTGGGTCATCCATGTGAAAGAAGCAGAAGCGTTCAGCAGACACATGTTCTCTGTGGACAACATCACGTTCAGCAGAGAGGATGTCAGCGACAACAAACTGCCTTTTCTGGACTGTTTGGTGAACATGAAAGACACGGAAGCCTCAACATTGACGTTTACAGGAAAACTACTCACATGGATCAGAACCTTCTGTTTGACTCTCACCATCCACTGGAACACAAACTTTCTGTCAGACTTTACACCACCGGTCCGAACATGTTCCGCCAAACACAGAGCGGAAGGAAAAGGAGCAGAAACACGTGAGAGAAGCTCAAACTCAGAAGGATTTTCTCCAAACCTGTGGATATCCTAACTGGACCTTTGTCACGTCAGCAAATAAAAAAAACACGCTGCAGAACAGAACAAAGAGAACAACTATCATCCCATGTATTGCTGAAGTATATGAGAAACTCAGGATTTTCTCCAAACACAACGTCCTGGTATTTTAAACCCAGCAGGACCCTGAGAACGAGGCTGGTCCATCCCAAGGACAAACCCCCAAACCCAAACTGAGCGGTGTCTGCAGTCCAATGCAGTGAGGAACAGTCAGAACTCTGAGAGAAGCAAACCTCTCCACAGACGCATGGCTCAACACCAGAGAGGTCAAGACTCAGCAGTCCACCTACACCTCAAGAATAAGGGACACTCTGCAGAGGACCAGCATGGACATATTTTGGACAGAGAAGACAGATGGTTTGAGAGGGGGGTGAAGGAAGCTGGGTGGCACGGTGGCGCAGTTGGTAGAGCTGCCGCTTCTCAACGAGAAGGTGCCAGATCGAATCCCGGCCAGGGGCCTTTCTGGGTGGAGTTTGCATGTTCTCTCCGTGCATGCGTGGGTTTCCTCCAGGTACTCCGGTTTCCTCCCACAGACCAAAAACATGCATGTTAGACTGATTGGTAACTCTAAATTGTCCCTAGGTGAGGGAGTGAATGAATGGCTGTTTGTCTCGTTTGTCTCTATGTGTCCCTGTGATGGACTGGAGACCTGTCCAGGGTGTCCTCCACGGCTGGATATGGGAACCAGTGACCTCATGGCCAGGAAAGGAAGAAGCGGCTAAAGATGAATGATGGATGGATGGGTGGATGATTGATGGATGATGGATGGATGGATGGATGGTGAAGGAAGCCGTTTATGTTAAACGAGAAAAGCCTACTGTAAACAGAGAAGGAGGTCTCAGATTTCAACTATCAGAAGTTAATCATGCAGCTCCAGACCTGGTTCCCAGTCAGCTCCAGACCTGGTTCCCAGTCAGCTCCAGACCTGGTTCCCAGTCAGCTCCAGTCCAATTCACACCTTCATGCATGTGACCCAAGCATGTGTCAGTGAGTGAAGCAGACTAACGAGCCTCCACTGGGAGTAGTTCTAGTCCACATGTAAATCTTACATAACGAGGCCTCTCGTGTGTTTCTGTGAAGCATCTCCACACACTTGTGAACCGATAAATCCTCCAGATGTGAAGTGAAACATCTTCAGCTTCAGAACAGAAGTCCAGATGTTATTATTATTTATGAACACTGTTTTAATTCATCTTGACCTGAATGACTGAGAATGTTCACCAGCAACTTTCTTGAACATCTCAGCTAATATTGGAGTTCATTCTGTGCTCACCATGTTTCTGTGTAGCCTGAGTCATAACGTGAGTGAAACAAGCCGAGTATCTGGAGCGTGCATGTGTGTGTGTGTGTGTGCAGCGATGAGTCAGGAGGTTAAGCCTTGGGAGCGGTAGTACTGTGTCACTGGAGTTACATAATGTGCTGGGGGTGCAGAGAAAAGAGGAGGGATGAGGGCGATGCCATCAGCTCAGAGACTGTGAATAAATCTTTTCACTCAGGGAATTTAATGATGAAAATCACTCATGTTGAATTGAACCAGAACAAATAACCTTGTCCCACAGAGTCACTGCTGCGTGGCCTTATCGTCTTCATTTACTGCAGAGACAAATGCTCAAGGTTTCTATCTGTAATTTACAAATGTCCTGTAATCTCCCTTCATGTAGGAGCATACAGATATTTTATTGAAGCAACATTTTTTAAACTATTTACATGTTGGCAAACACATTACATCACTGATATGAAAAGAGGACAGGTACCAGGTGAGTGAGTGGTGAACACGTGTGCTTGTTACATGTTGAGAGGTAGAGGAGCTTAGAAAATGGAGCTCGTCTTGTCTGTGCCACTAGTTTTGCAGTAAATTGCAGGAACAGTGAGCACAGAGGTAATTGTGTCACTCGTCTACATGAGGCTGCACCCACACAAAGCTTTGAAAAATAATATTGAAAAGTTGCATTTTCATTCACAATTGTCCACCGGCAAACAGAGTCATTTAACTAGGACACGTTTTTGTAAATCAAAATAATTTATCAACTCTCTTTGTGCAGTTTATTTTAAGGCTAACTTCTGTGTGTAAACTATCTCTGTAGATATCCTGATGCTGCTCAATAATCCAGGTAGAAAAATCTAAAAAAGTTAAGGCTGATCCTCAGGACATTCAAAAAACAAAAATTAACTAAATTAAACTAAAAAATTGTAGAAATGTTTCGTCTTTCGGATTAAAGACAAAACGCTGGCTGAATGGACGGATGGACGGATGGATGGATGGATGAATGGACAGATGGATGGATGGATGGATGGATGGATGGATGGATGGATGGATGGATGGACGGACGGACGGGCGGACGGATGGATGGCTGGCTGGATGGATGGACGGACAGATGAACGGACGGATGAACGGACGGGCAGACGGATGGACGGACGGATAAATGGACAGATGGGTGGATGGACGGATGGATGGATGGATGGATGGATGATGGACGGACGGATGAACGGACAGATGAACGGACGGGCAGACGGATGGACGGACGGATGAATGGACAGATGGGTGGATGGACGGATGGATGGATGGATGGATGGATGGATGGACAGACGGACAGACGGATGGATGGTCAATCTTCCTTGCATGAGAAACACAGCAGATTATGTTATGGCTGATCTGGACTTGTACAAAGTCCAGTATGTTTGTCGTGTCCGGTAACTTCTTTCTTATAATAAAACATTACTGTATTTTATGAAAAACACAAATGTCAACAGAGATGACGGTTCTCATTTTCTCATTTGTGCTTGTGACAGATTTATTGGTCAACAACCAGATGGAATCCTGGTGGATCCAGACGACAGTTTTTGGTGTCAGGCTCTGGAGGACCTGGAGACCTGTGGCCAGTCAGAACTGCTCAGAGAGATCGAGGTTCGTTAGCATGCTAAAACACATTCTTAATTAAAATATGTGCTATAATATGTGCTATAATATGTGATATAATATGTGATATAATATGTGATATAATATGTGATATAATATGTGATATAATATGTGATATAATATGTGATATGCCATGCGCATCACTCTTTAACTCAAAACCTGCTTATTGTTTTCAAGTCCATGAAGTGTTCAATTTAAAATAAATTCTAAACTAGTAGATGACAAAATGTCTCAGTTTAGTAGATAAGAGTAAAACATGATTATTTGCTTGTTTAGGCAGTGTAAACTTTTAAAAAGTATTGTTGTAACTTTGGTTGTTAGCTTGAAATATTAAACATTAACGTTGGCATTAGCTTGAACTGGAGTCATGTGTGAACGTACCTGTTTGCTTGTGCAGGCATCTATCATGACGGGTACAGCCATCAGTCTGGGTGTAGAAGGTGTCAGCAAACTTCCAGTGGAGCCAGTACTGAGCCGAATGAGCCCATTGCAGAGAAATTCTCTTCTTCACCAAGGAAACCTGCTCCACCAGAATACACACCTCCATCATGGCATCCATCTGCACGAGGAAGCCCACCTGCATGAAGAGGCCCACCTTCACCAAGGTGATGGGCAACTGCGATGGGGAAAAGAAGGTTGAGCTTTAAACTTCCATCCACAGAACGATTAAAAGCTGTAATACCATCGCGGTGTAAAGGTTTAAAATGTACTGGGTGTTTTGTGTGAAAGTCAAAAACTGTGCTGCTAATTTGTTCATTGTCAAACCTGTTTTCCCATTACACTCAGAGCCACACCTGCTTGATGACGTCCCATTCAACCAGGAAGCACACATACATCTCGGGGCCCACATCCATCAAGACAACCAGTCCCCTCTTCTGCACCATGAGCAGAAGCCAAAGGCTTCATTAAGAGCATCAGAGAAAACGTGGGAGTCTCGTCGGATCAAGGAGGAGATGCAGGGAATTCTATCCCCAACTCCTCTGGAATTACACAAAGTGAGCTGAAACACCAACTCATTTGGTTTCCATTCTGGGTAAAGGCATGCAACACATTTATTTTTTATTTTATTAAGTTGAGCATCCATCCATCCATCCATCCATCCATCCATCATCTTCCTCTTGTTCTGGACTCAGGTCTCGGGGGCAGCATCTTGAGCAGGGAGGTCCAGACATCTCTCTCCACAGCCTCTTCCAGCTCTTCTGGGAGGACCCCAGGGTGTTCCCAGGCCAGCCGAGAGACATAGTCTCTGCAGCGTGTCCTGGGTCTTCCCCAGGGTCTCCTCCCAGTTGGACATGCCTGAACCTCCTCAACTGTCTCCTCTGGATGTGGAGGAGCACTGGTTCTACTCTGAGTCTCTCCTGATAACTGAACTTCTCACCGTCTCTAAGGGAGAGTCCAGCTGCAGAGGAAACTCATTTCAACCTCCTGGATCCACGATCTCATTCTTTCAGTCTCTACCAGAGTTCATGACCAGAGGTGAGGGGAGGAACGTAGACTGACCGTTAAACAGAGAGCTTTGTCTTACAGCTCAGCTCCCTCTTCACCACAACGGACCGGCACAGAGTCCAAAATACTGTAGACACTGCACCAATCCATCTGTCAGTCTCACGCTCCATTCTTCACTCACTCGTGAACAAAACTCAGAGATACTTGAACTCCTCCAGTTGTGGTAGAACCTCACCCTCGACCTGAAGAGAACAATCCACCCTTTTCTGACTGAGGACTCAGATCTCGAGGTGCTGGTTCTCATCCCAGCTTCTTCACACTTGGCTGTGAACCGCTCCAGTGAGAGCTGAAGATCAGGGCACGATGACGCCAACAGGACCACATCATCTGCAAAGAGCAGAGATGAATCCTGAGGCCATGAACTGGACTCCCCCCACCCCCTGGCTGCACCGAGAAGTTCTGTCCATGAAAGTTCTGAACAGAATCTGTGAACTGATTCCGTGAAGTTGAGTAATAAAGTTTTGTGTCCAAAGACATCTTGAACGGTAGGACATTTTAGAATAACAACAAAAGATTTGGACTAAACTGAGAATGGGCAAATGGATGTGTGAACAAGAGTTATGTGATATGTTCACACATTACATTATATTCTGTGTTCAATGACCATGTAGCAAATTAATTTTAAGCTAGCAGCTCCAGGTGCATAAACAAACTGATGATAAATTATTGTGGCACAATTTGCTGCCAAATAGAGAAAAGGAAAAATAAAGACCAAAATCAGCTGCTAATGTAGCTGCAATTAGAAAACCAAAGCTTTGTCAGTTAAATGATGAAGCCATCATTAAATGCTCATGGCTAGTCTGGGCTTCTAGGCTAGTGGTTGCTAGCAAGCACACTTGTCATGCCATGCTAATGCTAAGCTATACAGCTTAGCTTCACACGTTTACAAACCTTGTATCTGTGACTTTCCTTCCCTCAATTGATTACGGTGACATTATTTACATGAACGTTCCTACAAGAACCTGCAGATGTTGGATGCTGCAGATGTTGGATGCTGCAGATGTTGGATGCTGCAGATGTTGGATGCTGCAGATGTTGGATGCTGTCTATCATGGTGCAGTAAGATTCATAACTGGCTGTAACTACCGTACCCACCACTGCACCCAGTATCCACTGGTTAACTGGTCACCATTAACTTCACACAGACTCTCCCACTGGTACATCTCCATCTTTAAATCACTTCCTGGTCTGCTGCCTTCATACATCTCCTCCTACATGTCTCTGCGTGAGTGCAGCTACAGCGTGCGCTCTCAGGACATCATTACCTGCAGTGTTCCCTCAGTGAGGACTGAACTAGACAAAAGGACCTTCTCCTACTCTGCTCCTGTTTCCTGGAATATCTTGTAAAAAAGATCTGAATCTAGCTGTTTTTGTGTCTTTATTTTATTTATACCATTTTCTTCTATTTATTCTTCTCAGTTTATATGCTTTATTTTATGATTGTCCATTGTTGTCATCACTTTTTGTTAAATCAGGTCAAAGTTACTACCCGAGTCACGGGTACAGTTGACTTATCATCTTTATTTGCCATCAGCAGCTGACAGACACCAGATATGAAGACTTTGGTCAGAACAAAACCTCAGAATATTCAGTGCTGCTCGTGATATTTGCTCAGAAGTAAAGTTTGTGTTGCCTTTCATATTGTGTCATTTTTGTTTCTGACACATAAAGTAAAAAAACAGTAATTGTATACCATTATTTGTTTGTTTGTTTGTTTTAAACGAAACAAACTGTTCTATTATTGTACATAAAAAAACACTTTTTGAGTACTTATTTACCTCCAGTAAAATGTGTTCAAACTTAACTTGGATGAAACTTTTACATATTATTGTGACTGTGTGTCTTTTCTAAGGTAACAGTGATAAAGGACCCAGAGAGTGATGACTTTGGCTTCAGCGTGTCGGATGGCTTCTTGGAGAAGGGAGTTTATGTGAACATGATTCGTCCTGACGGTCCAGCTGACAGGGCTGGGCTGAAACCCTTCGACAGGATCCTGCAGGTGAAACACCCGACAGTTTAGATCTGGCCCTAGCAAAGAGCAAAATAAAAATGGCTGCACTACATTGGTCTGCCTCATGTGACAAGATTTTAGCCATTAACTAGCTCGTCGCAATGGTTTTACTCAAGAGAGAAAGAAAATCCAGCAGAAATGACTGATTGAGATGAGTTGAGATCAACAGTTGTTTTATAAGAACATCATCATTTAGTTTGAAGTCATCATGTCATCATCTTGCTTCAGGTAAACCACGTACGGACGAGAGACTTCGACTGCTGCCTGGCGGTGCCTCTCATCACGGAGGCTGGAGACCGACTGGAGCTGGTCATCAGCCGAAATCCAATGGCCAAGGACAATCCAGAGAACAATAACAACACTTTGGACCACCCGTTAGATCTGTAACGCACAAGCAACAAGCGATGAACTGCAAGCACATCCTTGAAGAACTGCTCTGAATATCAGCTGGGCTAGCAATAATAAAGACACAAACGCTCGCATGCACTCACTCCTTCTCATCTTATTATTTTTATGGAAACAAACACAGAACAACCAGAAAAAAGAGATAAAAACAAATAAATCTCAATTTTCTTTGGTCAATTGATGAGTAGTTCCAACGTCCCCACACATTTGTATGGCATTTAAAAAAGGACATCCTTAAAATTATTATTATTTCAACACCAGGTGATGAAGTGAAAAAACAGCATTTTAAGTCAGTTTACGTCATTTAAATGAGTTTAAAAAGCTCCAGATTAGAATAGGATTACAATAATCAGAGACATATTTACATGTGTGCCATAATTACAAGGTTAATCCACAGATGTTGCACTGCCAGTGTTCGTTTTCATGGAAGAAAACTAAAACCATTTTAAATTCAAGGTAAATCTCTGCTCAACAAATGGTCATGAGCGAACAGATCAACCTTCAACAACATTTTAAAATTCATTTCTGATTGACTTCTTTTCCATTTGTGTGGCAGCCGCTGTCGTGTCCAGGCTTTCCATCAGCTCTGTCCTCTCAGCCCTGTGAGCACAAAGAGCATTAGTTACTCAAAACTCAGTTAACGGAGAAACCCAGTCCAGTTTCCAGCTTCGGTGGGACTCACCATTAAAAGCACACTGTCAGCTGCTCTTTTAAAAAGAAAGCTTCACATCATTTGAATGAATTCTGACTGAAACAAATAGTCTCACCTTTTTTTCTGCACAAAAATTATGAATAACTTTATTGTTACGATCTAAAGTCAAATTTAAACCGTCCACATTTAAATCCTGTGCTGCTGCTTTTTTACAGGAACTTTAATGTTTCTTTTTTAAGTTTCTGTTTCATGTTTTATTCCAACAGAGAAACTGCTGTTACCTATTTTTATTCTTATTTTTCTAAACAGAAAATCTAGATTTATCACTTTAAAGACATTGTTATTCAGAATTATGGTACTAAAACTCAAATCATGAATTCATATTTTGACAGTAAGACAGTGATTTTATAGATTCACGTGAGAAGAGATGGTTTGACTGTGACTTAAAATAGTTCTTCCAACCTGACGCAGAACGTCAAACATCTTCTCGTCTTCTACTTTCACTTTTCTAACTACAGACATTCTTTAGTGCTTTATTCACTTCCTGTTCCTCGTGATATTTTCACGTCCTGGAATCAGATAAAAACAGATCAGATAGTTAAAAAGACGCGTTTAACAGGATCATCCTCCATCTCTTCTGTTTCTCACTCCTTTCTCACGTTACATAAAAATCCAGCTGCTGTCCGTCCATCCATTATCTGTCAGCAGACGATGTGTTTGGTACCTTTCTGTGTGCGCACGTGAAGCTCCAAGGTTTTACTTTGACCCTTTGTTTCATTCATTTTGCTGCACATTTCGTTGCACAGCGGGATGTTTGTCAGGACGACGGGCACTTGATGCTCCTTTGAAACACGAGACTGAAAACAGGATAAAATCAGCATCCATGAGAAAAGACTTTGATTTCTTTACGCTGATTTATTCCTGAACAAAAAGCACACTGTTTAATACAATGTACTGTATTTTTCTTGTAAACTGAACAAACGTGCATTTTATGCAGCCAAGTGGCCAAAAAATGAAAAGACAAATGTAAAGCAGAAAAAAGAGAATGCAAGAAGAAAGCCTTCTAAAAGTAACGTTTAGTTTGTTTGTATGATGTGCAAACTGTATGTGTGTGTGTACGAGTGCATGTTTATGTGTACGTGTGTGTGTTTTGCATTTCAGGTTAGTTTAAAGCCCAAACCAGAACAAGTCTCATAAATTCAGTTCAGCTGTCATTTCAGTGACTTCACGTTATTTATTACACTTTCAAAGTTGGTTGGTTGAACAGAAGTGGCTTCAAAATATCCAACTGTACTGTTCCACTGTGAAAATTATATTCTTGATGTTATCTTTAGTATTCAAGCCACAAGAACACTTCACTGTGTACTCAGTTTTGGGGAGAAATACACAGTATTTTGTCAAATATATGAATCTGACAAAATACTGTGTCCTGTTACTTTGGCTGGTTGTCATTAGTACTGAACCCACTGGACATGTTCTTATATAACATGACAGTTGTTACATCATCAGCTGCATTTAAGGAGCTTTTACATCGCGGGCAGTGTTCCCTAAGCGTGTTTGAATTCACGTGTTTTAGACGGCTCATCTGAGCATGACGCTCAGAAAGGATCCCTCTTCCTCCACTAAAGATGCTCATGTGAATCTTGTGAATGGTCGGGAGACGCCGGCCTGTTTACAGACACCATACCTGGATTCTTCATCCAGAAGCTGCTGTTCAGCCCGAGCCGCTCATTTTTAAATCTGTTTTTAATCAAAGCCGGGCAGATTTAATCACGTGTGGGTTTTCTTGTGTCTGATCATGTTGAGTGTTTACTGGGATACTGGAGTCTCTGATCATCTATTAGACAGCTTCCCAGAAACTGAAAGGAACCGATCAACATATTTACAGTTAATCATTAACGTTCCCTCTGTCCTGACGGCTAACCACTGATTTAACAAATAACTCGGATAGAAACTGATTTTCTAGTAAACTCTAACTTGGAGTGTCATCAAGTGCAGTCTGTTCTCCAGAGGAGGGTTTTATAGTTACAACATGTTTAACAGTTTGTTTCTCTTCTTATTTTTGTTACACGTGGCTTCCTCCGCTGTGGAAGACCAACACTCTTATTTCAAAAAACCTTCAACAAAGACAATATCTTTCTGACGCTAAAATGACATTTTGATATGTTTACAGTAAACAAAAAAGTTAACTTTGCTATTTTGTGTTTTTGCAGAGTATTATACACGAGCAAATGTGTTTGTACCTTTTAATTGTATGGGATAATGAAAATCAGACAGAGTTTGAACATTCTGAGTTGAACAGAGTTGCTTTTTAAAATAAAACATGAAGCTGGCCTTATACAAAAACACGCCGTCCCTAGAAATAACAATCAGTCTATTTTAAAAAGTAGTCACTGGGCTGTTTGGTTTTATGGTGTGTATGCACTAAACATGGAGCACAGAAAGATGAGGAGGCAGTTGTCTCATGAGCGTAGTAAGAAAATTACTGGATATCAAACCATAAAAAAGTGAGCCTGAAATGTTCCTGTATGTAAATGAACATGCTACAGTAACTGTCGGGTGCGTTTTGGACCGATCAGAGAACACGGGAGCGTTTTGGCAACAGTTCCATCAGCTCTGTGTTCACAGACCCAACACTGAACTGAAGAAAAGAACCGTGTTCCTGCAGTCAAACAAGGACGACGTTCCATTTTGTTCTGGAACTGCTTTTCTGCATTTGGTACAGGTTCCCATGAATGTGTGTAGGGAACAATGAAATCTCAAAACTATCAAGGCATTCTGGAGCAAATTGTGCAGCCCATGGTCAGAAACCTTAGTCTGTCACAGACAGGGTCCTGCAACGTGGTAATGACCCAAAACACACGACAAAAAACACTCAAACATTGGTCATAACCAAACATTGGTCATAACCAACCATTGGTCATAACCAAACATTGGTCATAACCAACCATTGGTCATAACCAAACACTTGTCACAACCAAACATTGGTCATAACCAACCATTGGTCATACCCAACCATTGGTCATAACCAAACACTGGTCATAACCAAACATTAGTCATAACCAACCATTGGTCATAACCAACCATTGGTCATAACCAACCATTGGTCATAACCAAGCATTGGTCATAACCAACCATTGGTCATAACCAACCATTGGTCATAACCAAACATTGGTCATAACCAAACATTGGTCATAACCAACCATTGGTCATAACCAAACATTGGTCATAACCAACCATTGGTCGTAACCAACCATTGGTCGTAACCAACCATTAGTCATAACCAAACATTGGTCATAACCAAACATTAGTCATAACCAACCATTGGTCATAACCAACCATTGGTCATAACCAACCATTGGTCATAACCAACCATTGGTCATAACCAACCATTGGTCATAACCAAACATTGGTCATAACCAAACATTGGTCATAACCAACCATTGGTCATAACCAAACATTGGTCATAACCAAGCATTGGTCATAACCAACCATTGGTCATAACCAACCATTGGTCATAACCAAACATTGGTCATAACCAACCATTGGTCATAACCAAACACTGGTCATAACCAAACACTGGTCATAACCAACCATTGGTCATAACCAAACACTTGTCACAACCAAACATTGGTCATAACCAACCATTGGTCATAACCAACCATTGGTCATAACCAAACACTGGTCATAACCAAACATTAGTCATAACCAAACATTGGTCATAACCAACCATTGGTCATAACAAAACACTGGTCATAACCAAACACTGGTCATAACCAAACATTGGTCATAACCAAACATTGGTCATAACCAACCATTGGTCATAACCAAACATTGGTCATAACCAACCATTGGTCGTAACCAACCATTGGTCGTAACCAACCATTAGTCATAACCAAACATTGGTCATAACCAAACATTAGTCATAACCAACCATTGGTCATAACCAAACACTGGTCATAACCAACCATTGGTCTTAACCAACCATTGGTAATAACCAAACATTGGTCGTAACCAACCATTGGTTGTAACCAACCATTGGTCATAACCAAACATTGGTCATAACCAACCATTGGTCATAACCAACCATTGGTCATAACCAACCATTGGTCGTAACCAACCATTGGTCGTAACCAACCATTGGTCGTAACCAACCATTGGTCATAACCAAACATTGGTCATAACCAACCATTGGTAATAACCAAACATTGGTCTTAACCAACCATTGGTCGTAACCAACCATTGGTCATAACCAAACATTGGTCATAACCAACCATTGGTCATAACCAACCATTGGTCATAACCAACCATTGGTCATAACCAAACATTGGTCGTAACCAACCATTGGACGTAACCAACCATTGGTCGTAACCAACCATTGGTCATAACCAAACATTGGTCATAACCAACCATTGGTCGTAACCAACCATTGGTCGTAACCAACCATT